ACATCCCCAGCCCTTTTTTATATTTTAGTTTAGAGACAGGGTCTCCCTGAGTTGCTTAGAGCCTTGCTAAGTTGCTGAAGCTGGCTTTGAACCTGAGATCCTCCTGCCTCAGACTCCCAAGCCACTGTGATTACAGGTATGCCCACTGCGCCCACCTAAAGTTTTCTTTAAATGGCAAATGAGTAAGTAACTTGCAGCATATAACTTGTAGAGAAACATCAGTACACAGATCTTGCAAATAAGCAAATGGAAAGGAAAGGAGCTAATGGAGAGTGGGTGGCGGGTAATTGGGGAAATGCACTGAGAAAGAAGGATTATTGGCACTAACTCTCATTAAAGGGACCTCAGGGTTCACCAAAGTCAAGGTCAAGTGAAGAATTATAGCTATTGGTGCCTCCATATATTTTGGAAGAGAGGTTTTTTAGTAATGCAGTGCACCAAGGTAAATTCTGACTGACCACTGACCCCAATACCCACATTAACATGGGTTTGACTTGTGGATGAGCCCCCTCCCCAATAAAATGGCCATCATGACAGTTTTGGAGAGGAACAATTAGGGACAAAAACTGTACCACCAGAGATGAAGAAGGAGTTGAACACCTGCTTGGCAAAAAAAAAAAAAAGTTCAGTTCTCAAGATAAACATCAAACAGTAATAAATTTAGAAGTGGCATTGTGTCCTTTGCTTAAAAAGAGTGCAAGTTCAGTAGTGGGTACACAGAGACAACCCACTGTCTCTAGAGTGCTTGCTGCTTGAGCCTCACTTTTCTTGCACTTGTAATAAAGTTCTCTTGCATAGCTTTGGGTGTCTGAAGTTCCATCTTCTTTTGTGGGAACACAAGAACCCAGGTTTGGAGCTTCAGCTGCCCACTCTCCCCGACAACGCCAGGGCTTCACATTTCAGGAAATGGTTGGCCTGCACTGCAGTGTCCCAAGACCTTAGTACAAACCAGAGCCGTCAGAAAGGGCATGGGAATCAAAAGTCAACATACCATTAAAAAACGTTAAGAGATGCAAGGAGATAAAGTTAGTCACATGAACTCTTTCTCACTAGTTTAAACATTTCATGAGAATTAGTATCTTGATATAAAAAATAATAACAGAGAGAGAGAGAGAGAGAGAGAGAGAGAGAGAGAGAGAGGGCTTTCTCATATAATAATCATTTTGCTTTTCTATATGATCTTAAGTTTCCACAAAGTGCCTTTACCCCAGATCCTATTAAAGAATCAAGAGATAAGGTTTTAGGGTTGGGGGCTGCCTCCCCTCATTAAAAGGGTGGTGGAGTGGGAGCACATCTGGGGTAGTGGTGGTTGCATCTGTCTCTTAAGAAAATCAGTTGTTGGCAAAAACTCTCAAACAACTATATGAAGTAAAATGTTCATCAGAGGTTGGACATGGTGGTGCATAATCCCAGTGGCTAAAAAAAAACCTTGTC